GTCACAGCGCTTGAACAAGAGCTCTGGGGCCTAAGCTCAACACTCTGACAGGAGTGTGGGCTGAAGGGTTCAGGGGGACACAGCTGAGACAGGAAGGGAGTGGCCTGGGTCGCTGCCCCAGCCCTACCTCGCTCCCTCTCTGCTAGCCATCTGGGTCATACACAGGCTTCTTAACACCCCCACCAGGACCCAGCGTTCTTGCTCTCTACGGCCCTCTTGAGGACCCAGCCGCCCCCTGGGATGGACTTCTGCCCGCAGGGGCCCTACCAGCCCATCTCCCAGGCCTCAGAAGCAGCCCCTCCCCTCCACCTGCCATGACAACAGTTGCATGTAGGTTTCCAGGCAACAAGGGGGCATCTTGGCACTCTTTTTACTCTCCTGCCACCCCCTCTCCGGCAGAGTCACCCCACTCTCAGGGACTGGGAAGGGAAGGGAAAGGGGGTTTCTCCCCAGCAAAGATGGAGGGTTCCTAAACTCAGGGACGAGGAGACTTCCTACACTCTACCAGAGAGGAAACACAGACATTCTCCCTACACCCCGACAAGGGTGGTGGTGGAGGGACTGACGGCGGGGTTGAGCACCGTCATGGCACAAAGGGGGCCCCTGTCATCTGCACCCTGACCCGGAGATGAGACCAAGTGAAGCCCCTCCTCCCCCGGAACATAGCCTCTTGTCCTCTGAGACCTGCACTGGGACCAGGTGAACTTTCAACTGTGTACCTGCCCTCCCTTCAACACACAGGGAAACACACCCCTGCCTGTGGGCTGCAATCTGACCCACGGGGAACAAGGGTGGGGTCTGGGGCCCACCCTGGCTGTCAGCCAACCAAGGATGGGCTGCAACAGAACTTGTGTGTGCTCTGCAGCCTGGTGGTCTTAAGAGTCTTCCCGCCCTTGGTGTGGCAGGGAGGCAGGCCCTGGCTCCAGGGAGGCCCAGAGCTGGGGCAAAACTGCCCCGAAGAATGATGGGGCAGGAAGGGCAGGCAGAGAGAGCCCCTGGCAGAGGGGCTCCAATTCTGGAAGAAAATCAATGGTAGGAGTGTGGAGAGAGTGACGGGGGATGGGGTGGGAGAGGTGGGAAGAACCACTTGGAGAGGAACAGAAGAGAAAATAGCAGAGGTGGAAAACTCAGCTGACTATAGTGTTGGGCAGGTAAGAAAGACGGATGAAGCAGGTAAGAACAGAGTAGGGAGGGTTGGCCCTTGGGGCACCTGAGCACAGGGCACTGCTACCCCAGGGGGAGAATTATGCAAAAGCAGCCGAGAATCTGGAGTTTTGAGATATAATTGAATATAACATTATATTAGCTTTAGGTGTATCACACAATAATTCAATACGTGCAAAACGATCACCACAAGAAGTCTAGTTACAAATCACTACGCAAAGTTACACATTTTTTTCTTGTGATGTGAATGAGTTTTCATGTGAAATTGCTAATTTCTTTCAAAAAATTGGCAACACATTAAACACTTTGAAAGCAGTAGGGGGAAATAACGCTTGCCGTCCACAGGACACCAGTGTAAGTGCTCAGGGCTGTGGGGAGGGCGAGTGCAGGGAAAAAGGAAGAGGAAGGAAGACAGAGGGGCGGCTAGAAACAGATGGCTGGAGGTGAGGGAGAGCGACAACAGAGAAACGGAGAAGAAAGTGCAGGAAGCAAGTGCGGCTGGAAAGAAGTGGAAAAGAAAGCAAGGGTAGACAGAGGAGGGAAGACCGGAAGGCACTGGGCTGGGGGGCGGGGTGAAGGGTCAGCCGAGGGGAGAGAGGTGGGAGATGGAGGTGCAGAGATAGAGACACGAGGTCCAGGTGACACCTTAGGACAGATGCCCAGCCGGAGAGGTCGGGGAAGGGAAGAAGGATGCGGAGGGTGTGATAAAGAGAGGGTGCACTGTCCTATCAGAGGAGACAGGTGAGCCATGGGGGTGGGAAGGAGAGGAGCCGGGGTGCTGGAAGCGGCTGAGGACTCAGCGCTTCCCCTCCCGCCCCCCCACTCTGGCCGTGCCCCACAGCACCTCGCCTGGAGACCTGCCTCTCTCCACCTGGCCTCGGTGCCGGTGTATGCGTGCGTGCTGGGCCCTGGCTCCATTTTCCTGAGACGTGTCAAAGGCCCTCTGATACCTGACGTCTTAATTCTGCCGGAGCCCTCTGACTCGGGGAGCACTTTCCCAGCTGACTCTGGGACGGATGCAGGGCGGCTGCTGGGGTCCCTCCAGCACACACGGAGACCCCTCACGCTGGGATGTGAGAATGTACCAGCAACACGTGGGGCTGCATCTTCAGAGCTCTGAGGCCACCTCCGTGCCTCTCGATGTCTCCATGACACCTCTTTGAGTCTCTGTGAGTGTGAGGTCACAGGGTGACCAGGAGTGAGGGCCTCCCTGGCAGGGCGTCTCTCCAGGAGGTGCTGCCTTTGTCTCTCCCTCCGTGTCTCTGTGTATGAGGGACTGCGTGTGTCTCTGTGTGTCCAGGTCTTTCTCTCTGACTCTGGGTTCCGAAGCCAAGTTTGTAACTGGGTCTCTCTGATTCCACATCTGGGTCTCTGGCTGCGAGTGAATGACTCTGTGTGTGTGTGTTTGTGCGTGTGCGCCCACGCACGTGTGCACCTCTGCCTACACATGCCTCTGTGTCTTTCTCACACTCTACCTCCTGCCCTCCAGTGATGGCTGACTCTCTCTGGCAAGTTGGGCGCTGTGCCTCTGGTCGCCCCCTGCGCCTCTCGGGTGCTGGAGTGCCCTCGGGCTCCTTCCCACCTGCGCCCTGGGTCTCTCCCCGTACGCTCCAGAGTCTGCGGCTCCCTGTGTCTCTGCCTTGCCTGGTCCCTTGCTCTGTGTGTGAGGATGGTGTGTGTTCCCCTCCCTCCCCTACTTTCCTTCCTTTTAGAACTTGAGTAACTCCGTGCAGGTCTGGCTCCCTGGTGGTGCGCCCTAACTGTGTGTCTGTTTGGGAGTGGGGTTCCCCTCTCTCCCACCCTTCCCTGCCTTGTCTGAATGTCTCCCTCTTACCTCTTGGCTGCTTCGCTCTCTGTCCCTCCTTTCTGAGTGTGTGTTTGAACACTCAAGTGCCAGGATTAGAGGAGACCCAGGGAAGAGCGGGAGGAAGGTGGGGAGGGAAAGGAGGTGCACGTTAGAAGCAGCAAGGAGACAGGAAGAGGGAGGGGCTGATCCTGGCCACTGCGGGGTGGGGGGAGGTTCTAGCGGGGAGAGGATGCTGCCTGCTGCCTGGACCGGGAGGGAAGCGACTCTGGCTATCCCCAGCTGCCGCTGGAGCCCGAGTTCCTGTCTGGCGGCTGCGCGGCCGGGACTTGGGATGTGAGGTGCATAGCAATGGTGCGCTGCGGAGGCTCGACTGCAGCTTCCAGCTGGGGAGGGCGTGGGGAGGGGGCTGAGGGGCAGCCCTGTGGCTCCCTTCCCCCCTCCCCTTTCCCATCTGGGCTCTCCCCAGGGGATTTCCTCACCCTGAGAAAGTCTCTTCCAGAAAGCAAGGCCTGAGGCTGCGAGGAGCAGGGCGGGGAGAAGGGGCCAGAGCTCCGGAGGAGCGGCAGGGGTGGGGGCGGGGAGAGAGGGGGAGGATGGGAGTGGCAGAGAGACCGGACGGGCCGGGTGGGCGAGGGGGCACCATGGGCATCAGGACCCAGAGTCCAGGAGAGAGACTGGCTGGGCCCCTGGCCGGAGAGAAGGAAGAGCCCATGGAGGTGGGGGCTTGAAATGTGGGCGGAACCCTGGACAGAGCCTGGGTCACGGGCTCCCCAGGACTGATGGGGAGTTGGAAAAAGCCGAGGGAAAGAGAAGGAGAGGTTCCAGACAGGAGGCCCCTAGGACTGGGGGGTCTGGGATTGGGGGAGCCCATGAGGTGAGGAGACAGGGATGGGGGGCTCTAAGTGAAGAAAGGTCACAGAAGGGGGTCCCGGACAGAGCAGGATGTAGAGAAAGAGGCTAGGGGTGCTAGGGAGAAGCTCCACCGGCCCCTGCCCAGGTGAAGGTCCTAAGCAGAGAGGGGAAGTGATAAGGGGTCCTGAGAGGAATCAAGGTAGCGACTGGGGGCTAGAGGAAAAAGAGGCCGAAGTTGCGATCTCCTGGAGAGGGGGTCAAGGGGGGATGTCTGGGGGGAGAGGGGGAGAGATGGGGGATGAGGGGATCCTGAGAGGAAGATGAGGTGCAGTTAGAAGGTCCTAGAAGAGTATGTATGAGGGTGGGAAGGCTTGGGAGGGCAGCAAATGGGGGAGGGAAGGTCCTCAAGAGGAGAGGGCTAAGGACGGTGGGAGGCAGGTAGTGGTCCCAGAGAGACACGTGCCAAGGATAGAAGGCCCCGAAGCAGAATGGGGTCAAGGAAGGGGGTCTTGGGAAGAGGGAGGGGAAGGGGTTTGGTTGCCCATCAGTAGGGGGTTGGGGGACCCCAGAGGGAGAGGGGCTGAAGATTGGGGAGAGGGTTGTCTCGTTCCCCAGTCACCCCCTCCGTTTTTCCCATTCTCACTTCCCAAACTCCCCGGTTCTCCCCGGTTGCCAGGGCAACCGCTCCTGCCAGGCGCGGTCACCAAGGAAACCCCGTGCCCGCCTCTCCCCCCCTCCCCATCACTGGCGTGCCCCCCCACCCCAAGCAGCGGCGGTGTGGAAGGTGGGAGGGGCAGTGGGGGGGGGGGGAACCCCAACCCCCCCCCCCGAAAAAGGGGGCCAGCCCTCCCCCCCCCGACCCCCCTCCCCCCCCCCCCCCCCCCCCCCCCCCCCCCAGCCCGGCACCCCCCCCCCACCGCCGGCTTACACACGGCCGCCGGACGCACCTTCCCCCCCCCCACCCCCGCCCCCAACACAGAACTAGCCTGGCCCGGAGGACCCCCACCCGACTACCTCCCCCACCGCCTGCTGTTCTCCATCAGGCCCCGCCCACTGCCCTCTGCCGCCGGCCCCCCGGCCCCGAGGAGGCCTAAGACCGCGGTCCCCTAATTAGAGAATGCTCCCCCCCCGCGGTTCCTCCTCCCGCCCCCGCCCGGGCCCTTCGGCGGCTACTCACAGCGAGGAAAGGGGCTCCTTCCGGGGGGCAGCATGCCCGGCCCGCGGGGGGAGGACCCCCCGAGTGAGGCACAGGGATTTGGGGTGCGAGGCCCGCTGCGGGGAGGCGCGGGGGGCGGGGCTGCGTCCGGGCCCGGGTCTCTCGCGTTCTCCCCCCTCCCCGGCTCCTGGATGGGGAGGGGGCTTCCGCAGCGGCAGCGGTGGGGTTCGGGGGCCGCGCTGCCTCCTCGCTCGCCCGCCCGCCTGCCGCCCGGCCCGGCGCCCTCGTCCGCCGGCCCGCCTTCCTTCTTGCCTTCCTTTCTTTCCTTCTTTCTTTCCTCGCTTCCTTCCTTCCAGCCTTCCTTCCTTCCTTCCTCCCTCGTCGGGCCGCCGGCGCCGCTCTCCCCCCCCCCCACCCCCCCAGGCCCCGGCCCCGGCCCCGGCCCCCGCCTCGGACGGTGCGGCAGCGACCGAGAGCCGCCGAGAGCGGCAGAGACGGGAGCGGAATACTGATGATGGAGGGGGAGCGGGAGGGAGGGGAGGGAGGGGAGGGAGGGCGCCGGGAGGGGGGAGGCTGCCCGGGAGGGAACGGAGGGGGGAGAGGAGAGAAGGAGAGGAAGAAGGGGAGGGAGGCAAAGGGAGAGGATGGGGAAGGGAGGGAAAGGGGGAGGGACGAGAGGGGGAGGGTGGGGGAGGGGTGAAGCGGTGGGAGAAAGAAGGGGAAGAAAGTGAGAGAAAGAGAAAAGAGGGAAGGAAAGAGCGGGAGGGAGGGCCGAGCGGGAAGCAGGAGAGGGAGGCACCGAGGGAGGAGCGGGGAAGGGTGGAAAGAAGGGGAGAGGGAGGCGAGATCGTCCCGGACAGGATGGGAGGCCAGGGGGGGAGAAACTCCTAGTACACCTTTGGTAAATATTTGCGGGGTGAATGCGGAGGCAAGGGGAAGGCAGGGCCAGAGCGGGTGGATGGAGGGGAAGCCGAGCTGGGGAGAGGGAGGCAGTAGGCAAAGGACAGGAAAGAGGGTCTGAAAGGAGAGAGATGTTTAGGGGTCTGGAGAAGGCCCAAGGAGCGGGGAAGTGGGGGAAGGGAGGTGGGAGGGGAGAGGTAGGAGAGAGCAGGAGGAAAGGCGGGGAGGCTTTGGGGGGATGTGGGGAGAGGGAGGAAGCAGGGCGGAGGCGCTGGCCTGATGGGGAGAAACAAAGCTGGACAGAGATGAGAGGACCGAAGGGAGGGAGACCAAGAGAGGGGTGGGGGGAGAGGGGAGATCCAGGGCAGGGGAGAAAGGAGCCTGGGAGCTAGAGCTGTGGAGGCACAGGTGGGCTGCAGGAGCCTGAGGGAGAGCACGGAGGGAATGCCTTGAACCCTCACTGTGTGCCCACTTCATCACCACCACCACCCCCCCCCCCCCCCCCCCCCCCCCCCCCCCCCCCCCCGCCTTTCAGCAGCCGGACAGAAGGATCCTTGCACCCATTTCCCAGATAGGGACGCTGAGCTCTCAGGGGAACCAGAGCAGAATTCAAATGCAGAGTCCAGGCTCTGGACGGGGTATCTTGAAGGAGCTAGAGAAGAGGCTGGGCCCTGGCGAGGAGCCCCTGGCCCAGCCCTGTCAGGTGGAGGCGGGTGGGAAAGGGCAGAGGATGGGGTCTACAGCCTCCCCCCACGGAGTTCTCTCACCTCCTCCAGGTGTTGGCAGCAGGTGCTGGGGATACATAGAGAGCTGTGAAGCCCGCATTGCACCTTGGGTGCAGGGAGGCAGGGAGAGGATGCAGGGGTCTCGGAGAGGTCACCTTGCTCTCCCTCTGCCCCATCAACTCCCCTGTCTGCTACCGCTAAAGGCTCAGCCACCAGGGATGGGGGGCATGGGGAATTAGGGGGCAAAGCAACTCAGAAAGGGGCTGAAAAGAGGCAGCCCATTTCCAGTGCACTGAATTTCCTCCCAGGCAGGAATCTCACCTCTTCTTTGTTCCCCCCAAAAGTCCAGCTACTAACTTTGCATATGGAGGAGAGAGAAAAGATAAAGTGTCAATCTGCCCTTCTTCTGAGAGCCCTGGGAGGGGCAAGTGTGTCCCCTTCATCCCCACGGGCAGAAATGGGGCGAAGTGGAAGCCAGTCTGGGGAAAGAGGGGCTGGGAGGCGGGGAGGGAAAGTGGGTCACATTTGGGTGCATAAGAAGCAGCTGTGGGTGGGGGCTGGTTAATGCAGAGACGTAAGAACTACAGAGAGGGGAAACTGAGGAAGAAGAGAACGACCAGGGCCTGGGAGCAACAGGTGGGTTGTGGAGCGCTGGGTCCCCCACCTTGGCGCTACAGGAATCTGGTTTAGGAGATTGGAGGTGTGAATACGTGTACCCCAGAGCACAGCATAGCGCAGGCCCAAGGTCCGTGGCAATGCTGGTAAAACGGTAATGGTAATAGCGGCCAGCATGTCGTACGTGCTCGCTTCGATCAGACTCGGATGCCATGCCAAGTGCTTCATGAGCATCTAGCTGATTCCTTACAACCAGCCTCCACTGGACTCTTAGGGAGGTGAGCACTGCTGGGCGTAGGCAGAGCAGGATCTTGGAGGCCCCTGCTGTGCCCAGCATTAACCCCTTAGTTTCCAGAGGCTTGCTGCAGAGAGGCCAGAGCAGGGAAGTAGAGAAGAATTTCCACATCTTACCAACTCCTGAGGCTTCCTGGTCTGGTCTGAACCTATTTCAGAGAAACAAAAGAGCACAATGCAGACAGGAGCGGGCAGGGAGGCAGGCTGGAGGTGATGCGGAGGCCTCACACAGCAAGTGGCTTTTGAGCGGAGATCTAAATGAGACAAGGAGGCAGCTGCCTGGGTGTGCAGGGAAGAGCCCCCAGGCAGGAGAAGTATGGACAGCAGAGGCCCGGGGAAGGCAACAGGCTTGGCCTGTTTGAGAGAGGAAATGAGACAGGTGTGGCAGAAGCACGGCAAGACACAGGGAGAGTAGAAAGGGGGAGGAAGAGCCCCGGATTAGTGCAAACACAAAACCAAGCCCCACGTGACCATCTGTCCCCTAAACTTTGCCCTAAAGCTTAACTCAAGCAGCAGTCCTGAGCATCCTAAGCGCTGATCCCCCTTTTTCATTCACATTTTCAACACTGATTGGGGCCTATGATGGCCTATGATGGGCCAGAAGCCTTATTACCTAAGAAGGGATGGCAGTGACCTGGGGACCCCACCCCCACATAGTAACAGAGACTCAGAAGGTACGTTTACTATTTCAAAAAACCAAATGGCGCTTCCCTGGTGGCGCAGTGGTTGGGAGTCCGCCTGCCAATGCAGGGGACGCGGGTTCGTGCCCCGGTCTGGGAAGATCCCACATGCCGTGGAGCGGCTGGGCCCGTGAGCCATGGCCGCTAAGCCTGCGCGTCCGGAGCCTGTGCACCGCGACGGGAGAGGCCACAACAGTGAGAAGCCTGCGTACCGCAAAAAAAAAAAACAAAAACTGGGAGGGCTTTTGTGACCTTTTCAACCAATGGAGTGTGGCAGAAGTGATGCCATTGACTTCCAAGGCTAGGTCATAAAAGAGATGCGGCTTCTGCTTTACTTGCTGGAAAGTGGCTCTTGAGCCTTTGGTGGCTTAAAAGGCTCACTGACGGCCCTGAGGCCACCATGCTGGGAGGAAGCTCAAAGTATCCCACAGGGAGAGGCCACACAGAGAAGCCCGGACGCTACCTGAAGAGGGAAGAATTCCTGGCCAGCCCACGGCTGCGTCAGCTCCCCTTCTGTTATAGCTCTGGCCACAGTCTCACTGTATCCACTCTAGAGCCAGGACTGCCCGCTGACTCTTCCCCACATTCCTGACTCACAGAGACCTGAAGAGATAATATAATGATTTTGCTGCTTCAAGTCACTACGTATTGGGTGTGATTTACTGTACAGCAACAGATAACTGCAACAGTCAGTGACACAGAGCATGACACTCTAGTTCTTTACCAGACAGGACCATCTCAAACCATCTATATCCATCGGTGGTTGAAAGTTTGGCTGAAATAAACCATTGTACCACCCCGGTCTTGGTTTCTAGATATCGTTCCCCCTAAGACGAACCAGACTTCTTGGTTTGGGGGTAGGGCAATTACAAAGTAAGCATGGGACATCTTTTGTGCCAAAAAGGCAAGAAAGTGTTCAAAATACTAATGGAGTCAGGTCAAAAGGACACAGTAGCCAGCTTGAAGGGGCTCCCATTGGTGGCAGTTGGGACAACTGGAGCACCAGAAAGAATGCCTGTGATGCTGGTAACGTGTGTGTGTGTGTGTGTGTGTGTGTGTGTGTGTGTGTGAGGTAGTTCACAGTTTCGACATTAGATTTGTGCTACGTTTTTTTTTTGCAGTACGCGGGCCTCTCACTGTTGTGGCCTCTCCCGTTGCGGAGCACAGGCTCCGGACGCGCAGGCCCAGCGGCCATGGCTCACGGGCCCAGCCACTCCGTGGCACGTGGGATCTTCCCAGACTGGGGCACGGGTCCGTGTCCCCTGCATCGGCAGGCGGACTCTCAACCACTGCGCCACCAGGGAAGCCCCTGTGCTACGTTTTTTGAGATGACTTATCTCTGTGAAGCTGGGTTTTTGGCAGTTCTGTGATTAAAAGCCAACACTGGCCCTGAAAATCTTTGTGGAATTGGCGATGAAGGTGGTTGTGTCTAATCCGATTCTGAAATTTTTTTTTTTTTTTGGGGTACGCGGGGCTCCCCCTGTTGTGGCCTCTCCTGTTGCGGAGCACAGGCTCCGGACGCGCAGGCTCAGCAGCCATGGCTCACGGGCCCAGCCGCTCCGTGGCATGTGGGATCTTCCCGGACCGGGGCACGAACCCGCGTCCCCTGCATCGGCAGGCGGACTCCCAACCACTGCGCCACCAGGGAAGCCCCGATTCTGAAGTTTGAGAGGTTGTGCAGTGCCCAACAGGTGCACCCATCCCATTAGTGAGCAATTAGAATGAAATAAAATATTTCCCTGTCAGTTTATGTGCATTACTTTTTCAACTGGTGCTAACTCATTAGGACATGAATACTTCTTCAGTTGCATGGACCTAACTACTTAATAAATGGAACAGTTAGGTATTCCTTTGGGGCCTTCAGAACACCATGAAAAAATTATTGAGGCACTAAACTTAATTTCCATCTTACAGAAAATAGGATAGAGGAACACATCAAAAGACACCATGAAGAAACGATCAGACAAATCCAGAATGTGGAGCATTAGACAGGGTTATTGGCCTGGTGTCTTTAAAAAGTCAATATCGTGAGGGAGGAAAAAAGGGTAGAGCAGTTGCTCTAGATTAAAAGAGATTAAAGAGATACAACAACCAAATGCAATTGCATAGACCTTGCAATGGATTGTGGTTTGAAAGACAGTCTATGGGCAACTGGGAAAACGTGAATTTGGATTTGATCTTGAAAACCTTAGGGAATGAATGTTAATTTTCTCCGGTTTGATAACGATATGATATTGTGGTTATGTAGGAGAATGTTCTTATTCTTAGGAGATTCAGGCTGAAGTATTTACACCTG